AGGAGTTAGGGTGCAACATATATCGTCGTTATATATATATATATATATGTGTGTGTGAGTGAGTGGGTGGGTGGGTGCAAGTGTAGGAATGAAGGGGATTTTATTTAAAGATAATTGCTAAGCCTACAACCGGCTACGGATAGTGAAGTTTGGGACATTGTGGGGTCTATAACACCCAACCCTAGCCCCTTTTGTACCCTTACTAAGTGCCTTATTTTTCACTTGCTTTTGTTAGGATTATTTCTGATAAAAGAAGTGTCATCAATGTGTTACTGGCGCAAACAATTTCCTTTAAAAATTATACCTTTTGCACTTCCCTGACAATGGTTTAATTTTTCGTTGTTTTCTTTTATGACGTGATTGATTTTCCTTATAAGTTTTGTTTTGCTTTATGTATTCATTCATCATTGTTACATAGTCTTGATCTTGAACATTTGATTTTCTACGTGTGTGCATATTTTATTTGATATAACAAATTGAATCATAGCTTGTTCAGTAACAATTGAGAGAACTGCAAACTCGTAAATTTCCAGCAATATTAAATTTCGAAAGGTCAACAGAATTGGCTGTAATAATTATTCTTAATTATTCATTCGAAAGAGACAGTAAACGTTTCACACATAGTGAAATTTCCATAAAATCAGACTCGTCAAGGCAGTTTTGCACAAAATATGTTACAGTTGTTTTATTATACAATATGGACCTGTTGATTCTGAAAATTCTGTATCCCAATTATGACCCAAAAAAAGATATCTGCCCCAACATAACACAAGACACTATTACTTCTGGTTTATTCAAGATAGGAGGATAATCCTAGACTCTTTTCAGACATTTTACGCATTCACGAACATTGATAGAAATTATTCAACCATACAGTCTTACATAACTCTAACTGCGCCATCTTGTGGTATGTGGTAAATTCAGCCTAAATGCGTTGCACTCACAGTGATGTGCTATCAGTTTTATTGTGGAGTATTATATTTTACTCACGTTTTATGTGGATTCCGTTGTAATTGAAGTGAGTATAAAAGGCCTTTTTCTTAATAATAAAATAATTGTAGAACATTTGCAAGAAAAGGAAGGAACATTGCCCTGAGTAGTTTCTGGTTAGTTTTATAACATTATTTTTTTCTTTCTGAACATTTGCCGTTAAAATTTATAGGCTCAAAGTTAGATTTTAAAGAATAAAACTATCATGTCTCAGATTAAGCACATCTCATTATCACTATTAATTTTTACCTCCAAAGACTCTACAAAAATCTGTACACAACGTTCTGTTTTCAAAATTTATTTTAAATAGATCATGCAATCAACAATAAAAACTTTTATATATTCTTGCTTACCGGAAAGAACTATTTCAGTCTCTTTCAGAATACATAACAATGCTTGTTTGTTGTAAGGCTCACATCTACACAATGGGCTAGCTCTGCTCTTCCCACCGCGGGTATCGAAACCCGATACGTAACTTTGTAAGTCCTCAGACTTATCGCTGAACCATCGAGGTGCACGTAACAATAAAATTAAAATTGAGATATACAAGTTTGAAATGGAACACATTGTATTATTGAATTGTTATGAATGAAAACCTTTATACAACTTTTAAGCCCCCAAATAAATCACTTGGACCATCCTTTATAAATTAAATATATTTTTTCATTTCCTATGTTTAAAATGCATTCAGTAAGCAAACAGAAATAGTATTGCATGTTTCGTTTTACTAAAGATGGAAATATTTAAATTATTAAAGGTGTAGTAGAAGGCTTTTAAATAGTTGTTCCTTATCTTTACTAAATTCAATACATATTCGTTTATGTGAAGAAAAATGGCTTATTTATGTATGAAGGCTTAATATATATATAGTTTTACCGCCAAGCAATTTTGGGGTTATGCTGAACGAGACATCAAAACATCACAAAACATTACACTTTACAAAAAAGGGGGGTTGAATAGTGGGATTTGACAGTCACTCTTTATAGAGCACTCTCGACTCCAAACTACGGAGCACGTTGTAAAGGCAACGCGACTCGAATCTTGAATCCTCCGATCCACAATCTTGGCAAGTTAACCACTAGGTAACGTCTGGTCGGTTAGATTTTGAGAATATCTCACTTACTGGTCAATAGTTCATTTTACCTATTCTACTGAAGTCCTGATAGGAAACAGATTGACTTAATGTAAGCTTTATATAATATTAGAGACCAAACTCTATTGCCGTTTACTATTCAAGCTACGATAAAATGACACATAGATATTTCTGTCATGTTTTCAGTCTTATGTTTGTTTGTTTCAGATTTATGCGCAAAGCTTCACAAGGGCTGTCTGCGCTTTAGGATAATATTGTTATAACACCGATAGATGAAATAGTAATACATTTGATAATACTTGCAAAGCAACAATGTTTATATTACAGTCAGTGAGTTAATTCTTACAAAAATTTTCATATTACCAACGAATTGACTGATCAGGTTACGAAAATAATAAATATATTACTCCTAAATCAATAACTACTTTAGAATAACTGTATTTATAAATTATTCCAAAATATATAAAAACACATTTAAATTCACATTTCTAAACTGAAACTGTTTTGATAACAAGCTATTTGTTAAACAAACTTTCGAACACATCAATAAGTAAAATTACAGATTTTGCTAATAACATTCTCAGTTTTAGCATGTTCTAATAACTATGAATCTTGTAAATAATGTTATTTCAGATCAGACCTTCGACTTTACAATCCCTAGACTAGTATTTTTTAATGACTGATTTTTGTCATTTATATAAACATGTCATTTTAATTTTCAGTAAAACTAACGCAAAAAATATATAGATCCTATTATATTTGGTAATTATAACTATTGTTAACAAACGTATCATTGAACATTGCTGATTTAAACGTTTATTATTTTCAAATATAGATAACTTTATAGGTTGTTTGTTTGTTTGAAGTTAAACGCAAAACTACATAAAGGGCTATCTATTCTCTGCCCACCACGGGTATCCAAACCCGGTTTTTATTAGTTGAGATAATCAGATCCCTCCGGTGGCTCAGTGTTAAAAATAGAGTTTCGATATCCGCGATGGGCAGAGCACAGATAGCCCATTGTGTAGCTTCGTGCTTAAAAGCAAAAGAAACAAAGATAATCAGAATAATAATAAGGATATAACTACTATAAATATATCCCGTTGGCTTAGGAATAAAAGTTCTACAACCTCTAATACTTAAACTCATGTTTTAGCTTCAGTATCAGTAAATATTACGAAATACTACTTAACTTTCAAAACAATAACACTGGTGAAGCAATAATCGTTTATATATGCCGAGTTTTCTTAGGTTTATACTATGTTATTTATAACGGCATCTATGTGAATATAACGGAAGAAGGAATTTCAACATCAGGAAATATGTTTTACTTACCATTTCCAACGTTTTTATACGCATTAGTTTATTTATTTGTTGCTTTTGTGTTGCCTTGGAAACAATTACTCTGGCTGCAGACAATGAATAGAAGTTCCAAATGTGAGACATTGATTGCGCTGAAGATTCGTATCTATTCTTAATTCTAAATTTAATTTACGTTCTCATTCCACGTATTAAGTATGTGAATAGTGGTTAGATATAGTAAACCGTGTACCGTTGCTATGTAGGTCTTACAACCGCAGATATTTCCAAGCAGCATACTTTATATTATTATTATTACCATTTTATTGTTTGTACCAAACTGAATTTCTCTGTCATATGCATACGATATTTATTATATATATATACGTAAATATAACCATTCTATTTCTAAGTTAAAGAATATTAAGGTGACTGTCCAGCTATAGATTATACCAGCCGCTTAGTT